GATTTCAGAATTTTAGATGGATATGTTTGAATTAAAATTTTAGAATATATCTATATGCAGTACATTTAAGTAAGCCTTTGAGTAATTATAACTATTAAACTGTAAATTATTACATGCTTAGTATATCCATTTGTTATTGAATGCATCTGTTCATAGAGCAACTATAAATTTGTTGTTGGCAATTATAAATCATTCAGTTTGTTCGATTTCAGACTTTAATATATACAAATTTTAGACATCACCCGAAATAATACAAAGCAAGAAGCCAACAGAGTATGTTTGCAAATATTGCGGAAAAAGATACGCTTATGCCTCATCACTTTATGTTCACACTCGATTACATACTGGTGAACGACCATTCCGGTTCGTTTTCTGTATTAACTTCCTTATTTTGTTTTTATAGAAAATGTATTTTCATCCGTTGAAAATTCATGAATTTGAAATAATTTTGAGTTATATCCTTCGATTGAAGTATTCTTCCCATGGTGTAATCATCTTTAGCTACGACAAACTGCGATAATTATGCAAATGAAGTGTTGTAAAACAAGCTCTAAGATCTTTGAAATATTACATAGCTCCCATACTGAATGAGTTCCACAAATTCGTTATCATAACTTCAGTGTAAGCCTTTGACAGCTTATCACGTCGAAATAGCGGACGTCATAAAAAAAAGACGAGGTTCAAAAAACTAGTTCTCTGTTGAATTAATAGTGAAGAAAAGAATAGAGCTCTCTCCGTTTTGCTTTCCATTCCCAGGATTCTTATTGAAATGCTTGTCGTGTGGAATTTCGATATCAAGCCTTTCTTTTCTTTTAAAGAAAAAAAAGAGACATTTTTGAAAATTCTCTTTCCTAATTATGTTTGTGTCTGCTTGTGATGGTTTTACGGTTGCCGTACCAGGTGCTGCTCAGTACCAAAACAGCAGATCGCTATGAAAGTACACCAGCATCTTTCTTGCTTTTTGAAAGAAAAAGTAAAAAAAAAGGAAAACCTTTTTCTTGGGGACGAAAGACTTTGAAGGGAGGAACTCATAGCTTTATTAATCTTCAAAAAAAAAAAGAGAAAAGAAAAAAAACAAAGAAAATAGAAGTTTCATAAAGATCAATAATTATTCCATAAGGGTTGTGAATGTAATTAATATAATTTGCTGAAGTTCACTTACCATTCCCAACTTTGCAGATGCAGTTTTTGTGATAAAACATTTACAAATCAGGGCAATATGCAAGTTCATCAGCGTGTGCATACTGGCGAAAAACCGTAAGTTATGCTGTATATGTATCTTCTTGCGGGAAAACTGCACTGTGAACAGAGAACATGTTTCCTTTCGTGTTCTTTGAATCGTAGTGTTGTTCCCTTCAATCTCCAGATTACAAACTAAAATTTAGAATTGAAATTTTGCGGTGAAAAGGGATGGAAATGTGGTGATGATGATGCATTATGAATTAACAAATATGAAATGAATGCAGTTTCTTTTAGTTATAAATGTAACGCATGCGAAAAAAGCTATGCTCAGAAAGTGGGCTTAAAAATCCATTTGGAGCAGTGTCAAAAGTATTTAAACTGTCAACAGCGAACTAGTCCAAATGCAGAACTGGATAGCGCTAAAACGCTAGATAGCCTATTGCCCAGATATTTGAGTAAGTTGCTGGCTTCAATTGTGATGTTGTAGTAACGAATATTGATTAGAATCCAGCAAGAGTGGAAAGTGGAGGAAAGAAAATACGACACTTGTGATGATTGGTGCGAATAAATTTTTATCCCCGAAGTTTATTTTTGGGTTGAATAATCACTGATGCAAAGATAGTGCTGAATTGCAGGATTATTTTAAGATTTCCTTTGAAGGATGATATCAAAAGTCATTCCGAAAAATAAGCATTATAAACGAATGCACTTTCAGGTATATCAGATGGAATAGCAGTGGCAGCGCTCCAGTATCCCACTTCACCTTCCGTGTCATCAGTTCGAGATTTGACCAGTCCTTCATTGGGCCTAAAATTACCAACCTTACCCGCAAGCACTGCTTATAATACAACTACATTAAATGCAAATGATGGAATTATGGATCATTTGAATCGAATTGATCCCGTTACCGGTATGGCCAGTGAGCAGGTAATGAAATATGGGAATGAAATCACTGAAAACAAACAGTCTGCCTTTCACGGAGTTGTTCCGGATCCGTATAAAAACACTGTGCTGGATCCATACGATTCACAGTTAAATGCCTACAAGCAAATTTTGGAAGGTGGTAACTCACCTGGAGCACTATTCTCACAGCAGATGATACTTCAGAGTCAGCAATTACAACTTCTTCTACAATGTCCGGAACAGTGGTGCAATATGTTGACACAGCCCATTAGTGTTTATCCACCTATAGCCGCGCTACCACCCCTAAATTCAACTTCTCAACAGTCTACACCTCACCTAACAGCAATAAACATTTCAAATGACTTTGTACCTACTTCTGTTAAGCATGAACCTGCGATGCACGTATAGGTCAATCGCTTTCATGTCGAAGTTGCTGTCTGGAACAAAAGTTCAACTCTTACTATCCATGGTTATATCCGAATTTAGTGAGTTTTTCTGGAGCGTGAACCTATGATATGGTGTGCATGTAAGCCAGCTACAATTGCTCAGGATATTTCACATTTCTGCGTGAATGAAGCCACTATCGGACTCGTGAATTCTCGAGAGCTTTATCAGAAAACTAAGGAGGAATAGATCAATCTATCTTTTTTTCCTTCTTTTTTTTCCTTTAGTGTACGGAGCTGTTTTCTTCTCGTTGTAATATTTCTATTTTTCATTGTAATATCAATCATGCTGTCAAGAAAAGGGGTACCTCAGTACAATTTTGTGATTGTCGATACTGTAATTACTAGGACAAACGTGCTATATACTGTATCGTTGCAAGTTTGATAACTTATATTGGTAGGTTGAATCTTACTACACTTCTTCAAAATTTCAAAATTCCTGGCAAATTTTTTCTGTGACATCTCACAGTACCTACAGTATGATCGTAGTTAGTCATTTATTTTAGCAACGATCGACAACGATTCATCTCCCGTATGGCATGGTGAAATGTTATTTGATCATAGTATGGTTTATTTGGCGTTATTGAGATGGATTTATTAACAATATTCTATTGAATTATTATGCCTTCTTTATTCATTCTAGTCTAACTATATTTTGATATAAGTCGATCTGTTTCCTTACCTTCCTTTCAACTTTTTAATTTTTTTGCTCTCAAGTAGCAGAAGTCTGTCGATCGGTTATTTTGGTTATTCTTCATCGTTCTGTCCATTATATACTTGTTCCAATTATATACTTGTCCATTATATACTTGTTCCAGAATTAACAAACTGCATATCTACTGGTTTGTCAATAACATATACTTTGTCAAAATGTTTTACCCCATTTTACATATACTATTTATTGTATATATTCTTGCAATTAACGTCTTTTTTTTTTCGCAATTTCTGCAATATTTTGAAGTAGCCATACATATCGAAATTGAAAGAACTTTGGCACAATTGCCGGGTATGGATCAGCCAATTCTTTGGATTTCTGCTCACTAGGCTTTCTCTGTTAATTTGTGACATTTTTTTTTCTTTTTTCAAATATTTCCTATAAAAGAATGTATATGTATGCATGTTCAAAACAATGAATTTTCACTTGGTCATTTTTCAGTCTGAATTTTTGCCTGTACAAAAAAACCAACTTGTCTTTCCTCTTTGTTTTATGCCGCTAATTAATTTTTTTTTTCTACCAATTATTTTTCTTTGAGATATTTTTGACGGTTTGCTTTTTATCAACTTATTGTGTTGTGCGTTCAATTACGATTCGTGTCTTTTTTTCCAATCTTTTTTTCCAACTAATTCTTTGATTATCTTTATTAGTTTAATTTTTGTTCTTTATTCATATTTTCGTCAAAGTATCTCATCAATAAGTTGTCTTTCTACTTGTTTTTGTGTTTACCAAGCTAATTCAAACGCAGCCATGTCTTCTTTTCATTTTTTGATTTCATCCTTTACACAACAATTTAAATGATTTTTTTTTCATACATTCTACTGATATAGACTTAATTTTTTTTCCCCATGCATGTTGTTTGAATGTGTAATAACGATGACAAGCTAGCCTTTTCAAAGTTAATTTGCTAATAACAGTGCATTTGATTACTGAAATTAATTGATACATTTTAAAATTGTGAATATCATGTGTAAATTGTACAAATTGAGGCGCACATTTGCAGTTCATCCAACCAATTGATTAAATCAAAAAAGTAGTAAATGTATTCAGAAAAGCATTAACCTTTCAAAAATGTTAAAGGATGAATGTTCAATATATCAAAAAGGTCAACAGGTAATACAGTGCAGTGCTTCCCAAGCCTGATTCAAGAAATGCAATAATTGAGGACAGGAATGAATAAAATAGGAGGAATAATAGGTGGTGAGTTATATCATCAGAATTCTTATTGAACAAGAAAGGGAGTGATTGGTATCTCAGTGATTGAATAATTACATCTATAGATGGAATCGTAAAGGAGAATCAGGTCACACTTCCTCCTATCTTCTTTAGCCATGCATCGTTGTATATAGCGTCCCTTTATACCGAATTTTCTAGGATAATACTAGATTCTGTCACCTATCATGAGTTTATTCAACCAGTTCGAACTCATTTTCATGTTTATTTTATTGTTTTATCCTACACTTATCACTGGTTAGTGTCTTTCATTTCCTTTAAATTACTAATTCCTACACGATGCCTTTTTCACCGGTAATTTAATTCCTTCTACAGGTGTTATTAAGAAATGGACGACATCAAAGTTTTTCGAAAATTTCACTATTATTATCATATGGATAGTACCATTACTTCTATTGTGCATGCATTTTAATTGATAAGCTCTGATGGAATTGAAATAGCACTATTATTTTAATCAATTCCTTAATTAACATTCAGCAAAGAGGGGAACTTATCATAACTCCAATTTGCAATCATTCACAGGCATGAAGTGTGCATTACGAAATAAGATAATATATATTCGCAATGAAGGTTACTATTCATCGGAAAGAGTACAAGCAGTATTTGAAGATTTGACACTTTCACAATGTGCTGATAAATGTACATTCAAAGTACAGGTGCATGAAGATTCTTTAATTATTTGCTTTAACTAATGGAGATTAAATTAAATAGCTTTAAAAAGAAAATATCTCATAATAAGTTCCAAATAATTTGAAACTCTCAAACAACAAAATAAAAAGTGTCAAATTAATTTAATTAAATTGTTCGAATCAATTCACTCCAGTAAAAATTATATTTTTTGATAACAGAGGTAATAAAATTAGAATTGAAATAAAATAGCATCCGTAATTACGTAATTTCCTTTTCCTTTTCTTTTTAATTACAAAACTTGACCATATTCTAATTTGGAGGAAACTTAAGTACATTTTCATTCAATAGCTGCACAACCAAATTCTTTAGGGAGTAGATTGCACTTCATTTGAGTATGATGCAATGCAATTGAGGTGTTTACTGAAGGAGGGAAGTGGAAGTATAATGAATGATAGTATGTTACCGTTGAAAACCGTCCGTAATGTCGCATTATTTCAACAACTTTGTCTTCCTGGTATGGTTATTTTGAAGTAATTTTTAGCGTGTGAATAACTTTTTTTGGAACTTTTGAGATTTAACTAACGTACGAAAACGGAAAGGTCAGCAAAAATACTTTTTACGTTTTGCAGTTTGAATTCACAGTTGACGTTTAAAATTGGAATGATCCGAGAGTAATTAATTACCAATCAGTGTCAAATGATCTTATGATCACTGTCCCACCTGCTATCTTTCCGTGCTTTCTTCTATTTACCACAAAGGATTGTTCTTACGATGAAAATTATGAATGTATTGTAGATGAGAAAAGTTAGGGACAAATGTTGATAACGGAAGATTTGAGTATTCTCGGTAGGATACACTGAGAGATGATCTAGACCGGTGGGCGATGATATACTTTGTAACAAAACAAATTTAGTTTGAAATATTATTGTGGATAATGGTCAAAGTTATTTTTTAATTAAAAATGTTTCTGCACATATTTCAGAAGAACAAATATGCCCATCGCCATATACCTTCGAACGTCTTCCAGGACATATTCTGATGGGAGTCGCCAAAGAGGTTTTGTTTATCCATTTTTCTTCACATTCAAATAAAAAACATGAAATGAACTTCAGGATCGTTTTCTTTGACAATTTTGTCCTTTGATCAAAATTCTTTGACAAAGTTCTTCGACCAATATTGTCATGATATTCCGTTTTGAATTTTGCCCAGATATACCTTGAAATATTGCAGGTAATACAAGTTAGATCTGTGGAAGAATGTTTAAGCATGTGCTTGACTGCTAAAAAGGAAATAGAAATTGACTGCAGGTATGAATTTAGCCCAAGATTCCACTTTTGTCAAAATTAACCAAAAAAGCAACATTTATTTTTTATCTAAAATTTTCATTAATTTTCTTACTTATTCTGAAGTGAAATATTCGATTGAAATTAATTTCATTATAAGAGTAAAAATTGATTTTAACGATCTAATTTACATGAGCATATTTCTTATGATTTTGATGGATAATTCTAAAAAGTATCGCAGCGATTTTTCTGATAATACCATGATATCATTCCTAAAAACTGTGTAGGTCAACAATGTATTACTACGATACCGGCGAATGCATCCTCAATGATGAGAATCGAGCAACAAGTGCAGATATGATAACCAATGATACAATGAACATGCGGGTGGATTATTTCGAAAATAGCTGCTTTGACGGTAATATTTTGTGTAATTTTTTTGTCGTGTTATCCTTTTGATAAATAATTTTGAATGAATGATGTAGTGATATAATAAACTTTCCGGAAAAGTTGATTGATTTGAGAATGATGGAGTAGTATTTAGGTATCATTGTAACACCTGTCTGATCATTTAACTTGTTCTTTTTTTTATCTTTGTTTTTTGATCAAACCTTACCAAATAGAAATTACAGGTACTATTTGATTTTTCTAGTCCAGGATAACAGAACAGAATGTTGAACATTTCTACTTTAACAACTTTAAAAATCTATTGAAATTTAAATCAGCAAATATATTGTAAAATTAAGCGAAAAATTTTCATTGAATAAACGAGTAATTTATGATTCTGAATGAATTTCATATGTGCAGTGCAATGTTCAACTGATTTTACTACACACTGGATCAAGGTAGGAAGATTTACGATCAGCGATCAATCGGATACTGTGATAAAACAAGTGACTAAGGAACAATGCTTCAATTATTGCCTTGTAACTTCTTTTCAGTTATGTTCAAAAAAGGCAACGTTTCCATCACCAGTTAACAAGCCTTTTAAATTTTTGAAACCTATGTTTCGAATTCAATCATTTAAGTAATAGGCTCGATTCTGCCAATATGGACAAATGCTATCATTTTTTTGAATAAGTATCAGTTAATTTTTCATTTTTCAGGAAAATAAAATTGACGATCAACCTTTTCCATGTAAACTATACGCATATAGTGAGGATAGAATGACATGCCATTTGACCTCAGAATCCGGTCTAACACATTCAATAACATCTGATGATAATCAAAAGATATCTGATGATTCGGAAAAATATGATTATTATGAAAAAATTTGCCTAAAAGGTAGCTGAACGTAAAACATATCAGTACAGTTGCTAAATTTCTGGATACTACTTACTAATCAGCTAGCTTCCTTAAATTATATCACGAATTTTTGTGCAGGAATGTGGAAAGACAAACTAATTGACAATCTGCCTGGCAAATTGGTTATTAAAATGAGCGGTTCTATTGTTAAACCTATACTACAAGCAAAATAACTTAAAGAATCATAACTTTTAGACTAATTCTGAACTTTCTGTTCTCTCCAAATTTGAATTTCAAAAGTTGAGTTTTAATTTTTTCTGTATCTCCAGGATTGATGCAATGTCAAGACATCACTTTTGAACATGTTTCAAATCATGCTTTGTTAAATGTCGGAAACAAGGTTGTCTATTTTTTTTCTCTACGATAGCCATTTTTGATATATGATGTTTTAACATACTGATACTTGTTAGTATTACAGGTGATAACAACAAGTATGACAAGATGTTTAGAAATTTGTCTACGTTCTGGTGAACAATGCAGTTCAGTGATGTTTTTTCATGACAAGGTAGTAATTAATATTCATTAACGCATTAGTTGACAGTCATTTTTATAGTTTATGGATAGACGAACAAATGATTAGATAGAGAAGGTAAGTGGACAAAATGCAAAGAAATAGATGCATGCTATCGATGAAAGAAAGTTATAACGATAAACATGACATGAGAATTTTTGAGAAAGTATACAATAATGTATATTTGATATGATGAATTTCTTCTAGGATGAGTGTGTTTTAAGCAAGATGAGTCAGTATTCAAGAGATGAACAACTTCGGCACCTTCCGGAAGTTAGTGTTTCCGGATTATTTCCAACCATACGTTTTATACAAATTGATTATGTACCAATGATAGAGTTTAATAACATTCCAGTGCGTTGTTATGAGCAAATTAATGATAGCAGTGGTAGTACAAGGTTTAATTTCGGAATAAATGCACATACAAATGGATGTTTAAATCGAAAAGACTCATGAAATGATAAGCACTGGGTAAGGAATAACTGATGGATTGTTCGTTGCAGGTGGATTATTTCGATAATGTATGTGATTACAGAATTGCTATAAACATGCCCCAGGAAAATAAAGTGACCAAAATGCAGATGCCGATATCAACAATGCACAGAGAATTAAATGGTACCAAAAGTTTGAGACTATATGGAACATAATTATTATCATTTATTGATAATCATGTTCCTATTGATATCAATGAAAGCCATGATCATGAGAGCTATGATCTGAAAGCAGTTCATGAAAGTTGGATTAATGATTTGTTTAGTGTTTATGAAAGAGAGTTGAACTGAAATGGATGAAAGTTTTACTGATGAAAAAACTGAAGCAAGGAAAATCCACAAATATATAAACTATATCGTATTCAGGACTAGAAACAGAATGTGGCGCAGCTGGCATTTTGATATCTGTGCTTTTTTCCAAACCTACAGTTGGCGCAATGTTTATCAAAGATCATTTTGCAACATGCAGGTCTGAATTTAGTAATGTAATGAATGCAACAATGGAAATTGCGTTGTTCACTCTCCGTCAAGATAATCCACCGTGTCCTGGTTATGAAACTGTTCGTTTTACTGTAACTTCAGCTAAAATTTTTTGTTTTTTTTTTTTTTTTTCTATTTTCAAGAGGACCATAAATAATATCACAGTACTTTAAGAACTAGATTCGTAGAAAAGGTATTGTCACATAAGTTATGTCACAGATAATTATATTAATTATATCGGCGTTATTTTGCTACATATGATCCTTCCATATCTAGAATCCCTCAACTTGGTCTTTCATTGTGGTAGTCCAAAAGAACGGTTTGGGAATACCAGGGCTGATGACCGACAACGATTTGATATTCAACATTACTTGTGATTACTCAAACGGTCAAATTACGAATGATTCGGCTCAGGATAGGGTGTATGTTAATATTTATTTACATGTTATAATAACTGAAAGTTAGAACTTTTATCTTTAATTATTTCTATTTGTAATGTAATCAAAAAATGTTGGATGATAAGCATTAAAGAAGTTTAAGTTATCAATGTAAATATAAACTATGCTAATTTCAATGAATAATTGAGTTTAAAAGAGAATTTGCATAAATATTACACTACTTATTTTGTCGTGATTTTATGATAGACTTTTACACAAAGCATCACAAGGCTGGTTATCCAGTCCCGCTTCTAATGATCACGTGCGATTAACGGTATTCCGTGGTGACCAACCGGTAAGTACCGCTGTTATGGGTGAAGAGTTGGAGATGAGGTGGACAGTGATACAAGACCGTATTGATAATGTTGGTTTGTTCGTAAATCGATGTATCGCAGAACGTTTGGATGGAACGCCGCCTTTACCACCTCCACTTACGCTTATTGCTAACGGGCAAGCATTGCTTATTCCATATCATATTACATTTCAGTATCACAATCTTGTTCCTGTTCCTGTTATTCTCTTCCTAAATTTTTTGGAACCTTGGATGTGTTAGTTTTGTCCTTAATTTTTCGGCAATTCAAAATAGCCTGACATCATCCAGCTTCTAAAGTATTCGGCAAAGTTGTTCCTGTGTAAAAAAAAATCCTTTTTATACAAAAATTTATGTTTACATAAACAATTTATAGGTGTATTGAAAGTAAAGTGAGTCATCTATTAATGCAACATCCAATTATACAGTTTGATAATGGTTTAAAGACTAAAATTAAAGTTTTTCGATTTGACGGATCACGTCGTGTTCGAATCCTTTGCTCTGTGGATATTTGTATTGAAGAATGCTTACCGGTTTGTATTTCACTACTTTGATTTTTTTTAACGCGAGAGTGGAAATCGAGGTTTTGCTTAATTTGACAGATTACGTCCAGTTCGAAACCTTTGTTGAAACGAAAAGAACCACAGCATGATAGGGTTGAAAAGGATCGTATAAGCAAATTTTAGCTTTTTAGTGAAAATAAATTTAAGTTCAGATATCATTGATTCCATAAGCGCAAAATGAAATGAATTTTATGTATTACCAAAATTCCCTGAACAGCAGAATAATTGTATCAAAAATAAACGCTCTCCTCTTTCAAGCTTTCCGTTTATCAGTTGTCGTAATGTAGAAATTAACATATGCTGGCAAAAATTATGAATTATAGGTCACTTGTAATGAAGAAGTCAATGGCAGTTTGACAAAATCTGGTAAAAAAAAGCGGGAAACTTTTACTTTACCGGCTCATCAGGTAAAGTTATGTCCTCTTTTTTTTTTAAACATTTCAAACTTTCAAAAGTGAATTTAATTACAGTTGTCGAGTTAACATTGATGACAAGTCAGTTTTGCATATGACACTAATCCGATTAAAATTTAATTTAGACCTCACATCAGCGAGTTAAACGAGAGCTCATTACTGGGACCTTTACGATTGTTGAAGAAAATGTCGATCCACTGCTTAATGAAAATGTAACGAAAATCGACGAGCAGTCGCTAAATCAGAGTAAGCTAATTTCAGAATATTGCAAAGTTCATATTTCGGAAATGGAGAGAGAGAAGAGTTTAATTCGCCTCGCCATTTTTTCAATCTCATTTTTTAATAAACAAAACATCTGAAAATATATTACATTTGAAGTTGACGCTACACTTTATATTCATCCATTTGCAGTCGAATTTTAAATGGTATTTATAAATCCTTTTACAGATATGATACCATTGCAATTTTCAAAAGACAACCACTTTTGCATGCAAAGTCTTGCATTTTTCATTACTGCAATCACACTGGCACTTTTAACGATGCAAATCTTTCTGCTCTGCAAGTATACACAGCTTAAAACTCAGACATCTGTTACTTCTGGTAAATCGTTATTTTTATCACCTTGAAGTTTGATAAGCATCTATGCATATTAAGGATGACCATTAATGTATGCTTGCAATGTTTTGTCATCTCTTGGTCGCTATTTTTTTTTCGTTTCAAATTAGCAAAAGTCACCATAAAATGATTCCTTGATGAAGTTTTCACAAGAATTCTTTGTCAGATAGTGAACGAAACTGCAATATCATCTCATTCCCTCAACGTGTTTACTTTGGTCACAAGGAGTGTTGCCCTGCGGAACGGCGTATAACACTACCCAAAATAATCAGGCCGAAATATTTAGAATGAAATCATTTATTTGTTTTTCGCATATTATCAAGACATAAATAACTTCGCTTTTATTTACTTTTTTCATCAATTCAGCCCATTTCCAGATGACAATTTTTAAAAAATTAAGGGAAAATGAAATTGCAACATTACCAATAACGCATTTAAATATGGAATTTTTAGTGAATGCATGCATTTATCATTATCTGTTAGTGACAATTCTTAACTTATCTTTGTCATAACGAATTTTCAGCATGCAAAATGAGGACTTTAGTGGCGGAAGACGTGTTTTTGTAACTTAACAAAGTATACGTGTCTTGAAAATGATTGGAAATATGTTAAAAGGACAAAATATGACCATCCCTGCGTATATATATATATATATTCCTTTTTTTTTGATGTGACGCATGTTATGACCCTTATACGTGTATTATAATGGTGTTGTTTTCATGGATAGCCAAGTTCTTTAATCTATGTCCTTTCCCGGTTCGCAAGTTTTTCAAGTATAAAAATTTCAACAAATTAAATTGGAGCAATGCATCTAAAGATATTCATTTGCCTATACTACTAATGTGTTAAGAAAAAAAAACGTTTTAACTAAACAAAATTGGTTTTTAATTCCGAAAAATATATGGAATCAGCTTTAATTTTCTAGCAAAAAGAGTTGATTAATAAGCTTTGGAAGGGATTATACTATAGGAAAGATGGTTAAAATAGGCTATCATATGGCTTAAGGCTTCATCCCAGTACTAATAAAGATTTGCCATTTTGTGAGCCAGAATTGAATTTTCACGAATTGTTCATCAAAGCATATGCATGTTATTCAATTTGTCATGTCAATTCCAGTCATCCTGGATATGAAATAACGTCACAAATGAATTACTAGCCATTTAACGCTTCGTTGCTTTAACTGCTTTGCCTTCTCAAAATCTCTTCAGTTCATAATCGAAACTCATCACTTGGCCTTCCTTTTCCTGCTTTTATCCTCCCATTGTAAATATTCATTGGCTATCCACATTTTTTTACCACTTTTAAAATTCCAATCATTTTGTAAAGATTTCATAATTCATGGAGTGACTAAACTTTGAAATCTTGAATAGGACAATTTTAGGGAAAATAGTGAAAGAATAGGTGAGGTGATACAGTTGATATTGAATTTATCACTTCATTCCCCAAACTACAAAGTCATACTGCCAAGAATTTTTGTTCGTTTTTGAAAAGAATAAAAATGCTAATTTTTAATAGTTGTTATCAAATATTTTAATATGGAATAGCACAACGAAATTACCAATTGGTCGAATAAATCCTTATTAACTTTTCAGGCATTCACTATTTATATTAATGTAATTCGAATTAACTTGCAGAAAATATCAGACTGGAAGCATATAGGAATTAGGAAGCAACTTGAGGACAATTTTAAGTGTAACCTCAAACATTTTCACTTGTATCTGAGAATTACTTGTGAATCAGCTTATTAAAAAAAAAAAAGAAAAATCGGTGTTATCAGCTGGTTATAATGAAACTGGTACGTTCTTTTTTTCGCTACACTTGAATAGCTTGAATATGAGCTAGTTAATCGTCTTAACTCACAGGAATTAACTGATAAAAGATATCAAACTGATCTAAACAAGAAGCAACTTTAAGTATAGTTTCAAACATTTTCACTTATATCATTAAATGCGAGTGGAAGAAGAATCGTCGGGATTTGAAGAATTCAGGTTTTCAAAGTTTACTCAAGCTTTTGCAGTAATTCCAACTTTCCTAAAAAAAAAAATACAAACCCATATTTAAGGAATTAAATGCACAACAACAAATCGAAGTACAATTTGGTTTGCAAGGAGAGGAATCAGAAGAAAATGAGCATATGGAATCATTCGTTGATCGTCGTGCCGCAAATTTTCGGGAACGGCGGCGAATGTGCAGTATCAATGTCGCTTTTATGGTCGCTTTTATTTTTATTCACTAAATTAATTAGCATGTTTCTAATAAAAGCTCGAAACGATATAAAAGTTTTCTCAGAAGTTGAAAGTTGTGTCATCCCATGACAAATCAATTTCAATGACATATTTTAATATCCTCGTAAAAAGAGAGAAATAAATTACAAACGAAGCAATTCATGTGCACATATTAATTCGTGCACATGAATTAATTTCGCTAAAGAAAGTTCTGAAAAATCCTTAGTTTTTAGCTGAATTACTGCATCGACAAGAAACTTTTAATATTATATAATTACTTATTTATGGGTAGTACGGTGATTGGAAATAAATTGCCACCATTAGTGAGTAGAAAATTAATGAGCAACGAAAAATAGTAGATTTCTGATCACTGACATTCTAGTAAAGAAGATAAGTATGTTTCCTTTAGTGACTTTAAAGCTTTCATTGATTTATAGAGTGACTTGGAGAAAATTTTCGTTAGCACTGAACAAATTTAAAATTTAAATTTTGTAATAAGAATTAGAAATCGATATTTCTTAATCATTCCAACCACTAAGGCCCATACCTTATTGAAGTAATTTGATTCCCTATTGAAGTGATATTTGAATTCCTTATTGAAATAATACTTAGTGAATGAATATTGTGCTTCAGTGAAAAGTGATGTTTGCAGAAACTACGACGATATATTCCAACATTTCCGTATGAGAAACGCCTATCCAAAATAGATACCTTGAATCTAGCAATTGCATATATTTCACTTCTTGAGAATCTACTGAACAGCGATCATCAAAACATGCATGCTTACTTGAAAGAAGCTCTTGTAATGGCTCGTTCTGGAAATCCACAAGCACCACCCTGGAGTACCAGTGGTTCGTTAGTTTCTCTTTTTCAAGGTATTCCTTGGAGTTATTGATGAAAAAGAGTCACATAACGGATCTTCCATTCATACCAACAAAGAAAAAATTTTTTTTTGAAACGCCTGTTTGTTCGCGTCAGATCTAGCAGTTACGTCACAGTAAGATTTAGTGTGAATGAATCAACTCATTTCACGCTTGCAACAATTGGATATTCTTTGAAAAAATGTGTATATAACTTTACTTATATTATCCTCCACATAGTACCCTTTCAACTTGTCTATTTGATTTCAATTCAAATATATTACAGATCTCATAGCTCGTCTTAGTTGGATTAACTGGAAAAAACTGGGCATCAAACCGATGTGATACTATACGTACGGTAAATTATTTATGCAATACAAGAAACTAGTGAACACTTTTAAAATAAACAATGGAAATATTATGGATTTCGCGCATTTCCGCCGAATACTTGTTCAACACCCGTCAAAATTGCATTTAAACTGAATGGATCATCTGGATTAGTGCAGCGTGATCCGATCAAGGAATCCTGGAAGATTGATTTATGAATATGTAAAAATGTTATCACTTGCAGAAGGAAATAAATTGTCACCTGTTTATAGCCGCACAAACATTGACAAGTACCAAAGCGACATTCTGAAAAATTTGGACATTGCTTGCTGGTCACGCATCTCTCAGCTAGATGTACTCGTCGTACACATTTATCCATAACAGAGATTTCATCAATTCCACAACTTTTCTCGCATGTTGCAAATCGACCATCATTACTCTGTAAGAAATTGGAGATGACATCAAATCGAGTACAAAAATGAAAAATATGCGGAATGTCTAAACTGCGTTGTTGCGGCCAGTATCGTTGCTAATTAATTTGCATAAATATTAAAATAATGACTAAGCTCTACCATTAGCTTGCACTACAATTAAAACATCTCACCGACAGCATCGTTTTGGCAGTACTGTAGAGAACCACAACAATAACATCATTGTTCAGGATGCGAGCCTTTTGTTGAACCAGTATTGCTCAGAAAATCCACCAATACCCTAAAAGCACCTTTTCAAGCCTACCTCGTTGTAAAAATTTTGGTTCATCAAAAATTTAATTTTATAGTATAAAAAGGGATGGCAACAAACTGATTGCAACAATTCTCATAGAAGAATTTATTCGTTACTAAAAGATATCACAATAGGATATCTGTTTTTATCCAGCTGGGCATAATTCCATATCTTACTATCAAAAGTTGCTTGTAGCAAAATCACTGATAAATTATCTTATCTAAAATTTCCAAATAATCAATCCAATTTCAGTATTTTTCTAATCTGTATTTGTCTCGCCGAGTCTTCCTGAATTCATTTCAAAGGAACAAAGTGCGCATCAAATTCATAAATAAACATTACAAAAAACGAACTGCCTCAATCAAATAGCTAATCATCGACAAAGTAAAGCTTAGTCATTTAAAAAAAAAAAAGAAATATATGTAAAATAGGATCATACTGTATATCACGCAACAACGACAGCTATGGCATACCGCGTCATCTCAGTTTCTGACGTCTGATTCTTAATACTTACGTAACATCCAGCTTTCTGCATTTAAAACCAGTAGTTGTGGAATATTATATCCAGAAAGTTAGTTCCATTACTCTTTCAGGATTTCATTCCAGTAACGATGAAGATGAAAAACGAAACAAGGAAATGTTAAAAAAAAATCCAAACAATGCAAATAACCTAAAACTGAAATACTATTCTTAAAACACTTAAGAAATTGCATTGTGTATATTGCTTGTATACAATTTGTTTAATTTTCAGGTAACTTTAAGATAAATATAATAAGTTTTGTATCACATATCTGTAGCTTAACTATGCTATGTTATCAATTTATTTCTTGGTTATACACTAATAGATTTAAGTGCCAAATATTCAGAAGTATCCAAACAAATGATAAATGCATCAGGTGTTAAATTTAAACGATAACTTACAGGATGAAAGCCATCTTTGCATTGACAAAGTCCCAAGATACAATGCATTGTTACGCCGCCTTCGCACTGAAATTGGAATTTGGAACTACCACAATGAATAATCATTTCAACCTGTAGTTTTGCAAAGATTGTTCTATGAGGTATTGTTAAGAAATATTATTTAGAACAGTGCGCTTCTTCACATACTCATCGTTCAATAAAATGAATGAATAAGAGATGGATAGAAATGAATGAATAAATAAGAATGAATAAGAGATGGATAAATCAATAAGTTGATGGAGTAAATGGTGAAAAAGAAAAAGAAGAAAGAAAGTCCAAGACCTGTTGATGAAGTTGACAAGGGTCCTCTCTATGTGCTATACTTAAACACTGATTATTAATATAAAGCGGAGTTGGATCGCGACATGGTTTTGGACAACATAAACTCGTTTTCCAGCCAGGTTCCGAGATTGTGTAACAGTGATGAGTAAGGGGTCGACATCGATGTTTCTCGGAGACACCCATATCGCACGACTGCCTTAAAATTTGGGAACTGTGACAACATTTATAGCATAATCAATTGTAATATTCGGGCAAATAAACTAAGTATTCTAACTTCAAATGAATTTTTTCCTAATTTCTTGGCAAAGAAATTACGATTAAAAATGATAAAATATACGTTAAATCAGGTTCTCCATAGGGACATTTCAATTTACAGCAATGTCCCACGTATGGACTGCCGTACGCGACACATCGATAACCCAAAGGACAGCTATCTGTTGATGCAGCATTTTCAAGCATATCAATATCATTAATAAAAAGACGCCGACAAGCTTGTTGAGGTTGTGTTCCATCCGGACATACTGAAAATCATTCATTGGAAGGGATTATAAGTTCAATTAAATTCCTTGAATATTTTACATAACTTTAAAGAATTGTGATTTATACTGAATTTCATTTCAAGTGCATAAAATAGTTTAATTCTAAATCATTGCATAATGTGACAAAAATTTTGGAAGTTTTTTTTTTTTATCGAATTATTTCCAAATTCATTAACAAATTTTCCTGTAAAAGTAATACTACCAAATAAATTCAACATTTCAAAGTGTTTGAAACTATCTGTTACATTTATTATTTTGGATATGTTATTGTGAGGAATGTTATGGATCATTTGTGTTAATTAGACGAATTTAAATTTCCTATAAACATACATGCAAAACATCGCTGTCCGGTCACATCACGTGTAGTACCGGGCGCACATTGACATACTCCAGCGATGCATGCATTGAAAACATCAACACATTGGTTGTCCTTTTCGCAGTTTTGTCCCCAATGTGCTACTCTCTGACATTCTACTCCATATAATTGTTGTCCTGATGGGCAAGCTGAAGTATAGCTCTATACGTTCATTTTCTAGAATATCGAATAAAATTTGTGTAGAAAAAAAATTTAGAAGTTTGAAATCAACATGGAAAAGCTTACACACGACACACTCTCCGTTGATAATACTTCCGCCCCAACATTCACATTTCCCATCTCGACAAAGAAGCGGCGGTTTGCAGTCCCTTTGACAACTGTCACCAATTTTGTTCGGAGCTGAACAGATTTCAAATACCAAAGATTATGAAGAACATTAATTAGCAGATGTATTGGAGAATTTATTGGGTAAAAACTTGAAAGTCATATATATATATATATATATATATAACAATTTCTGATAAAACCATCTACGATCGTTCGATAGAAATGTCAAATTTTAAGAAAAGTGAAATGGAGTTTTAGGATCAGCCTCGCCATTCTTTACATTAGTCATAGCATCCAAAGAAGCTTTTGTAACTTAAAATAATAAAAACAAATATAAATCGCTCAACCATAAGTAATTAAGTGACGCATTTTAGTGAAAGTAAAGAAAAGTTTTGCTTATGGTACCTGATCTGCATATAGTTGTCTGTCCATCAATATCAAACTCTTCGAAATTTGTTGGACAAGTACATCGTTGTTCTCGGCAAACACTGTTCATACCATAACAATCTTCATCAAACAAACACTTACTGCCAATCAGTTTCTCTGTAATCAATGTAATCATAAAATCTTATGCTTCATATAACCAATCAATTTTTGAAATTAATATCAATTTAATTAATGTCGATCTGTGAAATTTCTCCTGTAAAATCCTAGAGCATTATCCCATTATAGTATGCTATTACTACCATCACTCCCACTTATTAGAGTTACCTGGAAATAATACCGAATGATTGAAAAAGATTGATATAATGGAAGGTTATGCGTGAATCAATGAATGTTATGATAACTTACGTGTGCAAGGTACATCAAAACCATGAAAAAGTTTGATGAAATGAAGTAAGGCTGTTGTGATGACACTCAAATAGTACGTCGCCATTTAGATTCAATGGATTCATTCGTTTCGATAATGTGTGTTCATGTATGTATGTGTATGTGAATGCGATGAAGAATGCATTACACCTTTAGGGAGATCTGGGTCGGTGAGCGACCATCAATATGACAAGTTTTTCTTTTATGTACATCGATAACCACACATATCTAAAACGTACACACACACACGCACACACAAACACACAGACATACACGCACACACACACACAAACACACAGACGCGGACACCCACACACACATGTATATATGCACGTAAATCTGATCCAGCTATTTTTGTCAATCAGGAAGATTGAAATTGTTAATTGACTCAGCGCTTTAAGCATTAAAATATGAAAATACGAAATTTAGCAGGAAATTTGATGAACAATAAGAGTTGATGGAAACGAGTGATGAAATTTTGGCTGTTTTTGAAATATTCGAAATATTCGTCTTCTGCACCTGTAAAAGAAGGACAGATCAACCTTTTATTCATAATTTATGCATTAATTCAAGAGCAAGTTTGTTTATCTAAGTTTGCTTATCATCACCGAATTAAGTTTTGATCAATGGCCTCTGACCATCAATGAGTAATTGAAACATCCCCCACATGTTGAAGTTGTGACGAAGCTTGTTAAAATACATCCTAAATGAATCTTGGCCTGTCATTTTTGGCAGTTGATACTGCTGTCATTGCTGTTGGATAGCATAGCATAAGATTTAATTGCTAATAATAATTTTTAATGAACAAAAAAAAAGTGAAAATTAATTTTTATTACCGCAAAACATCTGCACGAATATTTACATACGATGTCATAAAAATACAAACTTCATTTACTTTTTATAATTGCAAAAAGTAGTATTTTCTTCTTTTTTTTCTGGAAGCATTGATCTCCTGTAATAAATAGTTGAAAAAACAAGCCAAATAAATGATCTATCCGTTTATGACATATCTTTCAATAATCACCTAAGAAGAACGGGAATTTTTTAAAAATGACAAGAAATAAATATAGAAAATTTTTGTTTATTAAACATGTTTGTACTATAAACAGCCATTCATCAGTAATTCAGAGTGACATCTAATATATCCTAAATTGTAAACAAAACTTCAACTTCACTCCACATGCTGATTGAGAATAAATAAACGTCTGCATTTTGGCTCGAATAATGACTAGACAACAATAACCATCAAGAGAATATTTCTTTTATTTTCTACAAGTTTGAAATATCTTCGAATTTCTGCAATAAAGTATTAAAAATTATTCTAAATTGCAAAAAATTATAATTCCCTCTCTATTTTCATTTTTCCTTACTTGCTGCCAAACAAAAAAAAAGTAAAAAAACACTTATCAATTATTAACTTATCTCTATTATCCAAATAAATGAATTATACTACTCTCTTAAATGCATCACAATTAAAAAAATAAAAATAAAAATTGTATGAAGCATAGCAAAATGATCGAGTATTTGGATCTAAATTTGTTTGATAATCCCTTTTTTTTTTTTCAAAAACAGGTTTTATATCATATCCAATTTGTATTGATATAGTGATGGTAAAATTGAACCAGCTTCATTTAAAAAGAAAGAATGAAACAATGGAAAGAACAGTGGTAGGCAGCAAATTAACTAAACCTCAAGAACAGGAAGGAAATGAAAAGAAAAATGGAAAACGGTATATTGCTGGTTATCAAGTTTTTCTCGATTGGATTTTCAGCATCGTAACTCGATTTGAATATTTATTGCATCTTTTATTCACTTGCTGTAATTTTCATATCAGAATTTTTCAAAATCCTGCTGGGATTGGCAGGGAAATTAGAATTATGCATTTTAGAGAAATATGAGTTTGTCATACAAAACAGTTCCTTTGACGAATTTCGTCATATAGAATTCAATTTCCTATCAATTTTTAAGGTGTTTTTATAATTTAATAAATGTTAAGTGATAATAAATTGTTTGCAACTAGCTCCTTCAGAGAACCCAACAGGTAACAGCAGGACCAGCACCTGCTAAATGATGTTGATTACATAACACTGAACATGATAAAAGAGGGAGTGTTACTGAGGAAAATGATAAGTGAATGGTAGGAATGCTCCGAGTCTAACGTTGACGATATAGAATTGTGATACGTATGCGGGAGCAAGAAACCTAATGCTTTCGCATCTGTATCCTTCGATAGATTCGCAACGGAGGCTCGGAGCCACATGATTGATAAGACATAGATATGAGGAGTATACAGTATGATAACTCCCTCTCTCCTCGTGGGGGGGAGGGGTGGGATGAAGGGGGGCGGAAAAAAAAGGAAAAAGAGGAAAAAATATTACATTATTTTCTTATAGAAATTTTCCTAATTTTATCGATATTTATAATTTCTGAAAGTGAAAAAGACATACAGAAATGATGACCTAATCCAGAATGCATTTTAAAAATTCCGGAAGAATGCAGCATTCGCAAAGTTGCTCTGCTATACATCATGCATTTTCCCTTCCTTATTATCACAATATTTATTCCATAGAGTTTTGGCAAGTTCATAACACGACAATTCTCCAGCATGTGTTGCAACCATACGTAATAAAAAAACACCATCTTGTCTGAGGAAATGAAATACGAAACGTCGTAACGATTGACTGTCAACCATTTTGTAACCTTCAATGCCCGTCAGATACTTTCCTACGAAGTTCAACTGCCTGTAATTGATGTCAAACAAATGATAGTTAATTGTTGGGAGATTGTTGCTAAGACGAACAACCATATAAATATCTTTTTAAAAAACAAGGATATGTGCATCGAAATTCGGACATTGATGATGTTAGTTGGCTACGATTAAACGGAACAAACTCTACCAATTAAATGGCAAACGATAAGAGTCCAGATCGGAGAACTCAAATACCCTTGTCATGTTTCCGGTTACACCTCAATAGCATTTAGGTTGTCGTCAAAATGTTTAAACTATTTTTATGAAGCTTAAATAAACAGGATATGCCAATCAAGAAATTACGAGGAACTCTGGTAAATAGCATTTCCAGTATATCGCAAAATTGGTTTTGCTGACACAGAATATTTGGAAAGAGGAAAAACGAGCCTGCTAGGGACAACGGAAATATATATCCAATATAAAAGAGAGCAAACTGTGGCACCAGCTAGCAAGAAATACCAAAACCACAGGAAGAGGAATATTTTCTCGTTAAACATGTTGATCATGAGAACGCATTGCACTGTATGTCGATGAACATTGCCAAGCACCTAGTAAAAAAGAAAAAATGAAAAATATATGAATTAAAAAAAAATTAGACAATTCTACAATTCTAATGGGATCCTACTGAACAAAATCAGATTAAATTGAGTTCAGTTGAAATTCACTGATTCTTCGGTATGCAATTAGTCATTATTATAAACTTATTCAGTAACAGAAAGCGACAAAGTATCATCTTTACAAAATAGTGATATCATCCGTCCTTGATTTTTGCTTCTGTTATTCAAGGCTGATGCGATTAAGCATCAAAGTTAGAATAATAAAGATTAATATAGGTCATTGAGATAGAGTTCATATAGACATTGCTCAAAGCTAAATTGATAAAACAGACTATTAAATCAATAAATTGGAAGCAAAGATAGAAAAAAAATTGAAATTAAGAGAAACAAATCAGTCTGTTATATAACTACGTTTTAATTTTTATGTCATTCTCGTGATGTTTTAATCAGTTTTATTTTCTCATTGAAGGTTACGTGTAACGTCAAAATGTTTTAGATGTGAAAAATTTGTTGTCCACATAAATGGCTTGTAAAAAGTACTGCTTACTTTTACTTCAAAATCACACAATGTGACACGTGGAAAATGGCCTGATTCTTCCCATTCTCGTCCATTCATCAAATCATTCAACACCTGCCGAATAAATCTTGTCATTCTCTTCAATTATCACTTTTTCTCGTTATTGTCACGACCATCACTTTCTCATTAATATCATTACCATCATAGTTAGGTCAATCTTATTATTACTATTTTCTATCCTCCTATTATTGCCATTAATCATTCTTAATAAGGCATCCTTAGTCTGGATATTTTTGATACTTACCAAGGTAACATTAATATTTGAAATTTCAACTTTGTCTCGTTTTTGAACTCAGTTACAATTCTGACAAAACAAAAAGACGCTTCAACTTATTTATTTCCAAGAAGAAAACACTTTTGATCAGGAACAGGATTTTTTTTTTCCTTGCTAATTTCTAAAGTTTGCTGAGATTTATCATTATGATGATATTTATTGACTGGATGAAAAAAAAAACGAAACAAATTTAATTGGCCAAAACTTATAAATTGGCTTACATTTCACAACGTGTATTTTAAAGTATTTAAGAAGCTCTGTAATGATGAGAAAAAAATGCATATTTCGAAATCAAACCTGTAATCCATACCATTTGCTACGATTGCCCAAAAATGTATTGAGCAAGAAAATTTGCCCTACGATATTTACCGTGTAAAGGATTTTCACCGAAATGTACAGAAATGTTACAGCGGCACCACTGCTACGGGTGCAGATGATCAGATTTAATAACTTCAATCGATTTCCAGTCATACTAAAAAAAAAACGAAAAGTTCAAGATCCTATAAGGTACAAGAAACTCTCTCATTAATTTTGACAGTGTAAAACCATTAAAAATCAAAGCCATTATGCTGGCATCATTGATAAGTTTTGTTTTAAAACGATAAACCAAAGTAACATGCAACAAATACACGAAGAAATTGACAAGTTCCAGAAAAACTGAAATAACTCAACAGCTTGCTGAAAGTAACAAACCACTTGATGTTTCACATGAAGTGCCTCCTCAACATTTGTGGCAATTGTTTGCAAGGCTTTATTCCTGGAATCCAGATCCAGTAATCGTGAATCGCATGCCATTTGCACCAATGATTGCACATGGATGCCTAGAAATTAATTTAGCGATCAGACAACGAGCAAATTCAATATGGAGAATGGGAATTGAGGAATTCAGAAGAAACCATTGGTTGAGAAATCAAAAGGCGGAAATAATTTTCCGCGTCATCTTGTTCCTCTTCAAAAACATGAAAATTGTCGTACGGTAAGAGTGGAATTTTTTTGTAATTTTCATGATTTTAGATGAAAAATGCTGAAATTTGTGTTTTTTTTTTAGTTTATATTAAAAAAAAAAATTTAGTTTACATAATACTGAATAAAATGAAAATATATGGTAACATCTAATAAGCGATAAATGCACCATTATAAAATGGATAATTAATGTGGAATGAACCTGACTGCCAATTGAGTAGCCTCCAAACGATGGTAGGTACATAAAAAAGGAGTGCTTCCAAAGCAAGTACAAACGGTACCCACTGATAATATCCAATTTGCCTATTTTCTCGTTCAGCATAATTATGAGGAATATAATCGTGCAGGGGTAGAAAATATGTATTCTGTACCCAGCAATAATTTTCTGTATACTGCTCCATTGGTTCCGTAAACGTTGCAGGTACCCAGCATTGTATCGGGAAACCTATGTAAGATGAGAGACATCGTAACGACTGTTTATGAGACAAAGGATAAAAAAAAAACAGTCATTCTGAACATTATACTTGTAATGTTAACAACAAAGTAATCCTTCTTCATGAAAGAAGTGCATAGATAATGATAGATAATCTGTGTGGAATATAAATTGAAGGACAAAGAATGAGTAAGTTGAAAACTGATAAAATAACACCAAGTATGGTTTATTATCAAAGATATTAATCATGAATTGAGAAAGAATAACTTACCAACATACTGCTTCGCAGATACAAGAATAGCGAACACTAAAATGTACAAAATAATTCAGTGATGGAAAAGAAAGATCAGTTTAATCTTAATTTCACGTTTAATTATTTTTCATATCATTTGGAGGTTAAGCTATTTAATAAACAAACAGCGATTTCTATTTCTGAGGATATTACTAATTCTATTTTCAATTGCTCAATAACCTCATATTTCAGTCGGATTATTTGAATAATACTTTATTAAGAAATCTAAATTTCAGAATTTCGGTTTCTGGCATAACATCGAAACATTGCATTTAAATGTCCATCTTATAATTTTGATAAAAATTTATCAAAATTTAGGCTGACTAAATAGAATATTAATAACGTACGGATATAATGTCAATATTTTGTTTTTTGTTTACTTTTGGATTTTCACTTTTAGTAAGTGATTTTTAAGTCTGAAAATTCGTAGTAACAAACAATTGTTTGTTTTCATTCGGCATACACCGACAGCTATTATTTCAAACATAACCCATGACCTTATCCAGTCGTATTGCAAAGAATAGGTGGAAGTGGTTGTATAGGAAGCTTGAGGGTATGATTAAACTTTTGAAGGTAAAAATTAGTAAGAAGCTGTTAGCACCCTTTAACCGCCTCTTTTTTACCTGTAAAAAAAGTGATCATTTTCACCTTAAAATATTTGAAATGCTTTCATTGATTCCTTCACTATTGCACTCTGTCATTCAATTTCGTTAATCTCATGCTGTGTAATAACACTGATTGTTTTATCTTTCTGTTACTATTATTAAGGATGAAAGGAAAGATCAATGCATACTTTATTTTATTATTTTGCTCTTTTTCTTCTTTTTTTTTTTTTTAAAATTGTTTTCTTTACTAA